GTGTAAATGTCGACATACCCACATACAGAAAAGCCCTTTAGTCTCCTCAGTTATGCTAAAAAGTATCAAGGGGTCCTGAGAGCAAAACACTTCAGACACAGAGATAGAGCAATTACTTAAGAGTCTTCACAAAGACTGAGACCAAGCCTTAACCACTGTTTTGTTTTTTTGTTTTTTTTTGGCCGCACCGCGCAGCATGTGGGATCTTAGTTCCCCAACCAGGGATTGTACACATGCCCCTTGCAGTGGAAGCGCAGAGTCTTAACCACTGGACCACCAGGGAAGTCCCATCAATCACTGTTTTATTTCAAGGGTCACAGGAGAGGCACACAACACAATAAGCATCCCATGTAAGGTTTGTTGAATAAAATGAATAAATTAGTGAACTCACATTCCTTAAGATTTGACACATTAAAATATATTTGGGGAAACTTCTATCTATAATAGAATGAAGATACTGGCAACTTATCTCTCCAAGGAACAACTATAAACCTGGACAAAATTGTGGAAAACCACCATTTCAAGGCTCTAGAAATTGAACAAAAACAACAAACTGAGAAGCGTTTTCAATAAGAAAAACTGCTGAACTATGGATAAGAACAGTGATTGTCTTCGGCATTCTGGCCTGGGGTTGTTCTCATTCCCTGGCTCATGCTTAGTTTGCATGAAGTAGTTCCAGGGTGGGGCTGGCGATGAAAACCAGCATCTTTGCTGCCAGAGAGTCAACCTGAATTGACACAGAAGGCCAGAACCCCACCACCCAGTCATTCCGTTGATAAAAATAGCAAGCAGGGTAGGAAAGGGAGGGAGTGGAAAAAAAAAACATAGTTCTATTAGCCTACGGTTGTGGTCCCACTGTGGGGGAGCAGCAGCCAGTAGACAAGCCAGAAATTTAAGAGGGATATTGCAGAAATCAGAGAGCCACGGGGGCACTAGATAAGACAGCCACTCATCCCTGGCACTCATCCCTGGCAGACAGGGTAAGTATGTGGGGAAGACCTGAGAAGGGCTAAGCTCTGCAGAGACCCCTCACTGACAGGGAGACTGTGTGCACACACTGGGGAGGTCTACAAGGGTCCAAGCTCTCTACACCATCCTTAGTCAACGAGGAGCCTGCACATGAGGGAACTCCTGGGTGAGCCCGACAGAAAGTAAATGCTAGGGCTTACCTGAAAAATGCCTGAACATTGAGCACACTCCCCAACACACATGTATATCTATCAGTGGAAGGTGGAAGCCTTACTGGCTCATGGTAAGGCTTACTGGCTCACGCTTGAGCACAACGCCTGACCAACCAATGGTTGCTAACTAATCCACGTACGTATGGGGCAACCCCTAGAAAGCAAGACTAAACAAACAAACAAACCCCCCCAAAACCTAGACACCAGTGGTTGTGACAAAGTAACAAACACTGCAAAACCTGACATTTTACTAAAAGCAAACAAACAAAAAACTAGCAACAGTTACAACTCTTAGGTGGGAAATAATGAGAATCCAGAGCTGCTATAATATATGACCTAAACTGTCCAGTTTTCAATAAAAATTATGGCAGTTGGGAAAGCAAGGAAAAAAGTATTCAAGAGAAACTTCTCTGAGTGGGCCAAGATAGGTTTGGCAAAGTCTATAAAGAGGAATGAAGGGAGGGAGGGAGGGAGGGAGGGAGGAAGAAAACAATGTTTAGAGAATTAAAGTATGACAACAATGACTTAAACAGAGAATATGAATAAAGAACAATTACAAAGAAATACTGGATTTGAAAAGTAAAGTGACTGAAAATGTATTAGGTATGTTCAACAGCAGATGTGAGATGGCAAAAACAAACAAAAAAATCAGTAAATTCAACACCCCAAATTTCATGAAAACCATTAATCTACAGATCCAAGTAACTCAAAAAACCCCAGGAAGAATCATTGCAAAGGGATCCTAAACACATTAGTCAAACAAAAGAGAAAACAGCAACGAAAAAAAAAAAAATTCATCACAATTAACGGCCGACTTCTCATCAGAAACACTTAAAGCAAGAAAGAAGTGGGATGACAATCTACTAAAAGGAAAAGTCAAATAAGAATTCTATACCCAACAAAATAAAGGCAAACAGTCATGAATGACCACATACTGTAAAATTCCATTTATATGAAATATCCAGAAAAGGAAAATCTATAGAGACAAAAAGTAGATTTATTTGCTATCTAGGGCTGTGGGGTTTGGGGACAGAATGGGGAGTAACTGCTAATGGGTACATGGGGCTTCTTTTTCATGTGAAAATGTCCTAAAATTGACAGAGGTGGTGATTGCACAACTCTGTAAATATACTAAAAACTACTGAATTTTACATTTTAAATGAGTAAATTGTATGGTATGTGAATTATATCTCAAAAAACCTGTTTTGTTTTGTTTTTTTGCAGTACGTGGGCCTCTCACTGTTGTGGCCTCTCCTGTTGCAGAGCACAGGCTCCGGACGCGCAGGCTCAGCGGCCATGGCTCACGGGCCTAGCCGCTCCGCGGCATGTGGGATCTTCCCAGACCGGGGCCCGAACCCGTGTCCCCTGCATCGGCAGGCGGACTCTCAACCACTGCGCCACCAGGGAAGCCCAAAAAACCTGTTTTTTAAAAATGGCAAAATCAAGATATTCTTAGATCAATGAACACTGAGAGAAATCACAGCTGAAGATACGTCTTACAGTAAATACTAAGGAAAATTCTTATAGACTGTAAGGAAATGACACTAGACAGTAACCTGAATTCACAGGAAGAAATTAAGAGTGCCAAAATTGGTACATTTATAGGTAAAAACAAAGAACTGTATAAATATATATTTCTCTTTAATTCTCTTATTTCTTTAAAAAATAAGACTGTATAAAACGATAATTGTAACATTCTGTTGTTGAGTTAATAACAAATGTAGATATAATCTATACTACACAGAGAACACAAAGGAAGGGAAGGTAACGGAGCTATACTGGAGCAAAGTTGCTGTAGTATACTGGATTTAAGTCAATATTAACCTGTAGTAATTAGCATGCACATTATAATCCCTAGATCAACATTTTAAGAATATAATTTAAGAAACATAGTTTTAAGAAATCATAGAAATTTAAATAGTACACTGAAAAATAGTTTTTAAAAAAAGGCAGCAAAGATGGGAGAGAAAAAAAGACCTGAAACGTAAGAACAAAGAGCAAAATGGCAGATATAAATCTAACCTTATCAATAATTACATGAAATGTGAGTGGATTAAACACTGCAATCAAAAGCAAAGACTGCCAGTGCAATCAGGCAAGAAAAGGAAATAAAAGTATTCATACCGGAAAAGAAGTTAAATTATGTCTATAAGCAGATGACATAATCCCATATGTAGAAAATCCTAAGAAATCCACAAACTTTTAGAATAAATGAGTTCAGTAAGGTCACAGGATATAAGATCAGTATACAAAAATATTTGCATTTCTATATACCAGCAGTGAAAAATCCTAAATGAAATTATCTACAGTGGCAGCAGAAAGAATAAAATATTAATAATTTAACAATAAAAGTACAAGATTTGTACACTGAAAACTACAAAGCATTGGTCATGGAAATTGAAAATCTAAATAAATGGAGAGATATTCTGTGGTGATGGACTGGAAGACATGTTAAGATGACATACTACTCAAAGTGATCTACTGATTCAATAAAATCCCTATAAAAATTTCAGCAGGCTTTTTTTTTGTGGAAACTGACAAGCTAATCCCAAAATTTATATGGAAATGCAAATGACCCTTAATAGCCAAAAGAATTTTTGAAAAGAACTAAGTTAAAAACTTACATGTTGATTTTGAAAGCAGATTTGGGGTTGCTTGGACTTTGGGGTGGGAACAGGGACACACTGCAAATAGGCATAAGGATCTTTTAACAATGATGGAAATGGTCTAAACTGAATTGTGATGATGGTTGCACAACTCTATAAACTTACTAAAAATCCCTGAATTTTACACTAAGTGGGTGAATTTTATGGTATATAAATTACACCTCAATAAAGCTGTTCAAAAAAGATTCTACATGAATGTTCAGACTCTTTATTCATATTAGCCAAAAACTGGAAACATTTCAGATGTCCTTCAACAAGAAAATGGCTTATAGGAAGAAAAGAACTTAAAAGAAAAAAAAGAAAAATCCAAAGAAAGAAAAATTCAAAGACAATGTGTAAAACTAACTAGATAAAGCAGAGACTAGGGATAGTGAGACCACTTAGGAGACAACTACAGAAGTCTAAATAAAGGTTTTGAGGGTCTAAATTAAATAGTAATGAAGAAGGATAGATGTAAAAGGGCAGAATCATGGGTCATTGGCAATGACTAATAATAAACAACAAAAACGGTTAATATTTATTGAGCACTTACTATATACCAAGCATTGTATTAAGTATAATACTTAAGTCATTTCACTGTCACAATTCTATAAAGTACTGTTGTTCTCTATTACCGAGAGATATACTGAGTTTGGAAGGGTTATATAAATTTACCCAAAGTTATAGACACGGAAAAGTGAACGGCTACTGTGTATATGTGTTTCAGTACCAGGGGTCGGGGGAAGAAATGACAAATGATTGTGAGGTCTTGGATCCCCAGCCTCATGATCATTTCTCAAGTAACTGTGGGATCTTGGTAATTTTGTTATTTTAGGGAATGAAAAACAATCTCACTCCCAGGATCTGGCATCCATACGGCTTTTTATTTTATGAGCAGTTACTAAAAATACGAAATCATGGGAATTCCCTGGTGGTCTAGTGGTTAGGACTCTGAATGTTCACTGCCGAGGGCCGGGTTCAATCCCTGGTCGGGGAACTAAGATCCCACAGCCACTGGGTGTGGATAAAATAAAATAAAATAAAGTAAAACAAAATAAATAAAAGTTACAAATAGAAAAGTTTTTAATAAATAAATAAATAAATAAAAATACTAAATCAGGAGTCTTTTTCACAATTTCCAAAGAGTCAACAAATCTTTAGCATAATCATATACCTTTCTTCCATATGGTTTTTCTACCATATTGCTGTCACTGTCAGAATTTTCACTCTGAACTGGTTTTGTGAACCCAGATTTGGGCATCTTATAGCTGTTCAACTAGCTTCTTCTTTTATCAGTCTTCTCATCCTGGATCTGCAAAGAATGGATATATAAGGGTTATTTGTATACGTATGCAATAAAACCTACTTAAAGTGTATGCACCACAATTAGTGCAATTTGGTTTCTTCCATGTCTCTATAATTTACTTTCTCAGAGAGGCTATCCTAGCCTAAAGTAAGTTTTCATTTAACAATTTGAGCTTCTAATTAAAGTTCTCTTGCTCAAGTCCATTCAGCCTGTCACTGAAAAGAGAACTACTTTTATATTTCTTCCCATCTTCTCTAGACTAGTACCTAACCTCCAGCTTTTTGGGTAACCAGCAGCAGTCCAAGTGGAGGCAAAGTGTTTGTCACCCCACCCAGCATGGCTCCAGTGGCATGAGCTCCTAACAGATTCTCTGGTAGTTCTGCATTGGTCTGTAAATTATTTCTAAAGACTCAACCAAGAACTTGATAGGTGTGATCAGTAATTTTACAACGAATTCTATTTTAAGTTAAATTAAGCCCTTACTACTTAAAATCCCCAGAGTGGTTTATTTTCATTCACTGAACCCCCAGATATCCCCAGGTATTCAGTCACTTTATCAACCTTTTCACTGATTTAATCCTTATCATACTACACTGTAATTATCACTTTACATATCATTTTCTTTCCAACTTGTTTAGCCTTCTGTCTCCTCCTCTACAAGCTGATTTAATAGGTCAAAGAGCCTCTTACAAGCTTTTTTTTTTTCCTCTTAGAAGTTTTTGCTTGAGAGATCCAGAAAAAATTCCAAAATGTGGGTTTTATATATAAAAGGGGTAGCCATGAGGCTAGACCTGTGTTGCTGTCTGATGACCTATTAGTCACACTTGGTTGTTGAAAGTTAAATTAATTAAAGTTGGTACCACACTACATAGTGCATCTGTGTAGTCTGCACTAATATCTACTCTATGACCACAGGAAGCTCTACTGCACAGCACTGGGCTAGACAGGCTGCTGGCCAACAGGAACAGGACCTGGGCCACAACAAGAAGCACAATGACTGACAAGCCTAATTTTAAATACTTCATGCTATAAATTTCCTATAAATGGGTATCATAGATATAAGTAAGCTACATTCTAGGACCTATATGAATTATTAAAACTCAGACATCCTGAACAGAAAATTAGTAAAATCTATATTCTTCAAATTGTTCTACTGGTGCTTTAAAATCTGTTTGGTTTCAATAGAAACAAAACCAAAAAACCCTTAAATGAACTGAGTTAATTGATAAATTATTAAAACTAGTTTATATTAATCTGAATGTAGCCAAATTAGAGTATACTGCAACACACAAAAAACTGTCACAGTTCAAATAGTTCAAATCTTTCATTTTATAGAGGAGGAAACAAACTTGAAGAAATAAAGGAAAAATTTTGACACTACACAGAAGAGGCAAAGTTTCCCTTGAGGTCATTGAACTGTTTCTACTATTACCATATAAACGGAATCATTTAAACTTAGTACTGTCCTCAAAGCCAGCCCTATGCAAAGCTTACAGAGTTAGAGTTACAAGTCATATATAAAGAGAAAAATTCTGACTCAGAAGCAAAACCGAGGTGCATAATATCAACAGGCATTAACCTAGGTGAGACTGTGAAGATGAAGCAGTTATCTCCTTTTGTAGACCAAGCAAAACAAGTCACTGGGGAATGAAGAACTGTCATGAATATTTCTGGAGAAAATTAAACATGGCAATAATATTATATTAATAGACTGTATGTTTAAAAAGCTTGTATTATTTTTCAATAACTGTACTTGGGGCTTCCCTGGTGGCGCAGTGGTTTAGAATCCGCCTGCCACTGCAGGGTACACGGGTTTGAGCCCTGGTCCGGGAAGATCCCACATGCTGTGGAGCAGCTAAGCCTGTGGGCCACAACTACTGAGCCTATGCTCTAGAGACCACGAGCCACAACTACTGAGCCTGCGTGCCTAGAGCCCGTGCTCCGCAACGAGAAGCCACTGCAGTGGGAAGCCTGTGCACCGCAAGAAAGAGTAGCCCTGGCTCGCAGCAACTAAAGAAAGCCTATGTGCAGCAACAAAGACCCAACGCAGCCATAAATAAATAAATAAATTAAAAAAAATAATAACTGTACTTGGAAAATTTTTAGCATTAACAAAACTCACAAATGGATTTTTAAAATATCACTTCAGTCAACAACGTACGTAATAAATAATTAGGTTCTGGGCCCAAGATATATACTGTAATCCTTAGAACAATCAACACACAAAGATGATCAAAATCACATTGGGTAAATTAAACTTGAATATTTAAAAATATACAAATAACCCAACAGAAGGCAGAAAAAGAAATACTGAGGAATGAAAAACAGAAGGAACAAACAAAACAATAATAAAATGATAGACCTAATCCAAACATAGCAATAATTATATAAAATGCAAATATTAAACACACCAATTAAAAGACAGATTGCCAGAGGAGAGGAAAAAAATGACCAAACTGTACACTAACAAGAAATTCACTTCAAATATAATGGTATAAGTAGGTTAAAAGTAAAAGAATGGAAAAAGATATGCCATGCAAGCATAATCAAAGGAAAGCTGGAGTAACTGTATTAATATCAGACAAAACAGACCTCAAAGCAAAGAGGGGCATTACATATTATATACTAATAAAAGGCCCAGTTCACTAAACATGTATGCAACTAGCAACAGAGTTTCAAAGTACAGGAAGCAGAAACCAACAAAACTGACAGAAGAAATAAACAAATTGATAGTTACATCTGGAGACTTCAACTACTCTCTCAGTAAGACAGAAAATCAACAAGGATATAAAAGAACTAAAAACATGCCATCAATTTGAATTGACTGGATCTAACTGACATTTACAGAAAAATCTGCACGACAAACAGAATACTCATTCTTTTCAAGGACACACAATATTCACCAGGCTAGGCCACATCATGGATCATAAACAAACATTAATAAATTTAAAATTAAAATCATACAAAGTTTGTTCTCACACAACAAAGAAATCCAGGGCTTCCCTGGTGGCGCAGTGGTTGAGAGTCCGCCTGCCGATGCAAGGGACGCGGGTTCGTGCCCCGGTCCGTGAGGATCCCACATGCCGCGGAGCGGCTGCGCCCGTGAGAGGCCCACGTACCGCAAAAAAACCCAAAAAAACAAAAAAACCCCAGAATCAATTATAGAAAGATAACAAAAACATATCCAAATTAAAAAACAAAGAAAAATCAATGAGGCTAAAAACTGGTTTTCCAAAAAAAAAAAAATAAAAATGAAAAATAAAATTTATAAACCTCTTAGCCACACCTATTAGAAATGACAGAACACGTTACCAACTTTATACAAATAAATTCAACAAATTAAATGAAACAAATTCCTTGAAAGGCACACACTACCAAAGCTCACTGAAGAAAACAATCTCAATAATCCAATACTTATTAAAGAACTTGATTTCATATTTAAAAACAAAGAAAACCCAGATGGCATCAATGGTGAATTCTACAAAACACGTACGCGGAAGAAATATTAGCAATTCTACACAAACTCTCCTGAAAAGGAAAGAGAACATATTTTATGAGGTCATCAATACCCTGATAGCAAAGCAGAATAGTCTTTTACAAGAAAACTACAGACCAATATACCTCATAATCATATAACAAAATCGTCAACAAAATATTAGTAAATCAAATCCATCTTTATAAAAAAGGATAATACATCAAGACCAAGTGGGATTTATACCAGAAACTTGAGGTCAGTGTAATGTTTGAAAATCAATCTATGTAAATCACTGTATTAACAGACTAGGAGACATAAATAACCATTTCAACAGATATAGAAAAAGCATTTGATAAAATTTAATACCGTTAATGACAAAACTCTCAGCAAACTAGTACTAGAACACAACGTGAATGCTTTCTTTCTCTCCTAAGGTCAACAATGAGGCAAGCATGTTCGCTCTCATCACTTTCTCCTCCCAGCTTCACTGAGGTATAACTGACAAACAAAAATTGTATATAGTTAAGGTGTACAATGTGCCAATTTGATAAATGGATACACTGTGAAAGGGTTAGCACAATCAAGTTAAGTACCATCTCCTCACATAGCTAGCATTTTGTGTGTGTGTTGAGACCGCTTAAAATCTACTCTCAGCAAATTTAAAGTATACAATACAGTATTATTAACCACAGTCACCATGCCGTACACTAGGTCCCCAGAACTTACTCGTCTTATAACTGAAAGTTCATACCCTTTTACAGTATCTCCGCATTTCCCCTACTCCCAAGCCTCTGGCAACCACCACTCTACTCCCTGATTCTGTGAATTCAACATTTTTAGGTTTCACATCTAAGTGAGATCACACAGTATTTATCTTTCCGTCTGGCTTATTTCACTTATTTAGCATGTCCTCCAGGTTCAACCCTGTTGTGACAAGTGGCAGGATATTCTTTTTTTTAATGGCTAATATCCCATTGTAAATGTATATACAGTTGACCATTGAACAACACAGGTTTGAACTGTGAGGGTCCATTTGTATGTGGATTTTTTTTTCTTTTTAAATTTATGTTTTGGCCACACTGCGGGAATTGTGGGATCTTAGTTCCCCGATCAGGGATTCAACCCAGGCGCCCTACAGTGAAAGCGCCCGAGTCCTAACCACTGGACTGCCAGGGAATTCCCAAGGATTTTTCTTTTTTTTTCAACAAATACATACTACATGATCTGTATGTAGTTGGTTGAATGCGAGGATGTGGAACTGCAGACACAGAGGGCCAAATGTGAAGTTATACGCAGATTTTTGATTGCACACAGGATTGGCGTCCCTAACACCCATACTGTTCAAGGCTCAACGTTTTCTTTAATCATTCATTCATCAACAGACACTGAGGTCGATACTATACATTGGCTATTGCAAACAATGGTGCGATGAGCATGGGAGTACAGCTAATTCTAATTTTATTTCCTTTGGAGATATACCTGAAAGTGGGATTGTGGGGTCAGATGGCAGTTCTTTTAATTTTCTGAGGAA